AGGACTCTCTGTAGTATTTTCAAAGATGTCGTATTCTTCAAAAAACAGAAGTCCTTGAGTGGCATCTTTTGTTACTCTTTTGTTTGACGGTGCTGTACTGAGAAATTCAGGTTGTGTCTATGCATTTATATTTCTAGTTTTGATTTCTCCTCAAACGCACTTCAAGGATAAAACTTGACTTGAAGCACGAATACTAGCCGTCTGTGGATGCAGTAAATGTTAGACTGGCACTTATTGACTATTTCCATCTGATTTTTCAGTCTAGTTCCATTGAAGCAATAAGTGTATTGTGAGGGCGAGTGCATTGTTACATAACAGGGCAAAGTGAGCACTTGACATATTTGTTTTCTTATTAAAAGTAAAATCCTGCTCAGATGTTAGGGGCAAATTTTGAAAGGGTCCAATTCTCAACCTGGCCTCTATATTTGCAGTCAAACACTAGTTTGTGATCACCAACAAATGCTGGTGCAAATGATAGAAATCAAAATTCTAACTAGGCTTCATCTTGCAAAAAGCTCTGCATAGGATGGACTCCTGGATCTGCACATTCTGAAATCAGTGGGTCTCAGAGTGGGTACGTAGGGGTCTGCCCATATGGATCTGTTTGCAAGACTGGGACCTGAGTGACCTGTGAGAGTGAATGTCTTTTGCACCCACAAATCAGGTAGTTGTCTAAATTCTATCCCTTGTGCCTGCAATTGGTCATGACCATCAACTGTGGGGGAAACATTGATGGAGGCCGACAGGGAGGAGAGAGATAGCTCAGTGGTTTGAGCATTAGCCTGCTAAACCCAGGGTGATGAGTTCAATCCTTGAGGGGGCCACTTAGGGATCTAGGGCAAAATCAGAACTTGGTCCTGCTAGTGAAGGCAGAGGGCTGGACTCAATGACCTTTCAAGGTCCCTTCCAGTTCTAGGAGATGGGATATATCTCCATTTAAAAAAAAAAAATTACTGGCCTTTTTTGAAAACCAGGCTTTCAACTGAGAATTTGTTTTAGCATTCAAATGAAACAAAATGTACTTTAATGTAAGAGAGCCAATATTTGTTCAATTGTAGGCGGGTCTATCATCAGCAACTCATAAAAATAGATTCACCCACATATGTACCTACATCCACATTTTCATATCTATATCTGTATCTATATCTATATCTGTACACCTATATTATAGTTTGAACAAGATGTATATGGTAGTAAACCAACCTGCTTCTTGAAATACTTGTAACTGGGATTAACATATCAGTTGAAACAAAATATGACCTGAGGGGAAAAGTCACTGATTCTAAGTTTGATTGAAATCAATGGGAGCGTTGCCTTTAACTTTTATCGAAGCACAATCAGGTTGCTGGTGTAGAGACTTCCATATTTGCCTGTAACACTTTCACTTTCCTGAATATGTTCTAACATTTCAGAACATTTCTGTAACCCACAGAAAACTAAATTCTGCTCAGATACACCTGTGCAACTCCAGTTTAAGTCAACACACTGGATACCAGAGCGTACTTATCACAGTACTTATCAGCGAATATTCAGGCGCACGTCTTTTATTTGCTTTGTCAGATAACTATAGTGTGGACTATGCAATAAAACCCATGTCAGAGAAAAGCTTACTGATATGTTAGAAGTAAATTGCTTCCTCCAGAGATCTGATACCTCTATTTGTGCATCCTCTTTTTTTTTAAGCCTCTCCTACTTGGAGATACTACATAGTACAGTGTCATCAAATAAAAATGGCAGAAACATTTTTGATTAGTCCCTCATCTATGTAAGGTGGAAAATGCCAGTTCGTGCACTTGTAAATACACTCCAAGATAGTCAATTTTACTGCATTCTGGACTGACCAGGCTGGACAATGAATCAATATATGTTCGATTTTATGCAGTTGATGTGAAAGAGATGGTTATCTTCAGGAAGGGTATATTATTAAACTAGCAAAATCCCACTTTCAAACAAGCCCTCCCCTGTGCTGCCCCTCACACTTCGGGAGGAGCTCCCCCTAAACACCTGCAAAGCTCCCTCATTGTCCTTCCTCAAATCCCTCCTTAACGTTTTCTTTTGCCCTGATGCCTGCAAAAAAATTGACAACAGCCAAGCTTGGGTGTGCTGCAAGCACTGTCTAGTATGCTGATCAATACTGCCTTATTGTTTCCTTGTGCTCCTTTGTCAGCCTGTATTCACCAGTTGTCTCTTGTTTTTTGCTTGAATTGTAAGCCCTTTGGAGCAGAGACCGTCTTTTTGTTCTGTGTTTCTACAGTGCCTAGCATGATGGAATGGCGTGCACAGCAGGAAAGAGGGGAATGCGGTTAACATGAAGTCATGGGGGGAAACGGGGTCCCGGGAATGGGTGGAGGAGAGACTGAGGGGAACAAAGAACCTCTGGGGGGAGGGAGATTGGGGAGACATGGTATGGGGAAAGGGGGGCACACAGAGCCCCTGGCATGGGGGCACACAGCCCCTGCCATGGAGGGAAGTGGGAATGGGTATACACAGAGCAGCTGGTATGGGGGGGAAATGGGGGACCCTGGGTATGTCAGGAGGGGGCAATGAGGGGCACACGGAACCTCTGGCAGAGAGGATGGGGGGAGAGTTGCAGGAAGTTCCTGAAATGGAGGGGGATGGGAGGGTGCATACTGGAAATTTGGTGGAGGGAATGAAGGGAGGCAAGGAGCTACAGAAGCTATGGAGTGTGCACCCCTTAGTAATAATAAAAATAGTTTTACCAACAACAGCTCTGCTCCCTTAGAAGCCTATGTGGACCAAGGAGGGATTTTCACTCCAGAGTTCCTTTGTAGCGTACCTTGTCTTCTTTTAAAAAAAAACTCTTTAAAAAAGGGCTCAACGTTAAAAAGTAAAATATACAGCCCCGTACTTCAACTTGATATTCTCCCCATGTTCTTATACTTCACTAACCTCTAGCCAACTTTTTGGTCTCTGCGAATTACTTCGTGTACAGGCAATTTAAATTACATGCAGGCTGACTATGTGTGATAATTTAAACTGATTGTTAATTAATTCTGTAAGTAAATAGCTACTGCAATCTCTATAATCATCAAGGTTTCTCTAGCTATCAACCTTTTCCTTAGCTGCTCCTTATTATACAGTACAGAGCAAAAGTATGTGGGGGGGGGAAATGATATGCAGGATCTCTTTCTGGATCCTTGCCGCAGAAGGCAGCCCAGCTTCTTGAAAACCTTTATGGCTCTTCTTAGAATTAAATGTTTGCAAAACTGAGCTGTTTGTAGAGATTGATTTTCTGTATATAGCTTAAGAGGAAGCATATCATGAGATTTAGGTTAGATAAAAAGTAAGGCTTTGTGTGATGTGAGGTGCCAGCATTAATCAACTGGAGATAAGAGTTGATGAGGTTATATCATCCCAGTACCAGTGAGACTGACTATTAGTTATGTTTCTTGGCCTCTCGGTCACATTGGAGGGCAGGTAGAAAGCAGATATCAGAGCAAGTTTACTAGTGCCTGAGACATTCCTCAAGGCAAGACTGAGCTCAAAATTATCTTAAACCATTCCCTAATTGGTCCTTAAAATTAAGACCTATTTGGAAAGTCATAATTTCCCCCCTGGTTTTTAAGCTGTATCTCTCACATTACTATAGCCCATCTTTTAGTCCCCAGAACTAGGACATCCAAGGCACAAATGAAAATGAAGTCCTGAAACACGGCGTAAGGGTTCTAATCAGAAACCACCTGGCTCTCTTTGCAAGAAAATTATGAGCCAGGGCAAAAAAAAAAAAAAATTCGTGCTGTCCCAACTGCACACAGGTACCACCTACATGCAGTTGTACATCATGTAGCTGGCTGCCAGTCTAAAGAAAACAGTGATGCAATTGAAAAGTAGTAAGATAACTTTTTTGCCTCCTAGTTGACTACCAAGAATTATAGTTGCAACGGCTAGCATGCCACTCCAATTCGATTCCATTTGAATAAAAGTCTGTATAGCCTAGTTTGATCACGCCCCATTGAAGTCGATGGTAGTTTTTCCACTGAATTCTCTGGGTGTAGGAGAATACCTTAAACTGTAAGCCTGCAAACCCTTACTTTTTGAATACACTTTTCCCAGGCAAATATTCCCATTGAAGTCATTGGGACAACTATGATGAGTAAGGCCAAGGCTGGGGAGTAAGGGCTTATAGGATTGGGTCCACAGGTTGGGAAAATCTGAAAATGTCATTCCTTTGGTCCATTGGCTTAGTACTACATGTAGACCTTTTATTCCCTTCCCCCAGATAACCAGCTTACAAGTGAAAAACATAAAGACAAGAAACCTATGAAAGGTATTATGAGTTCAGTGTCGGAATTCAGCATCACAGACGCTCCATCCAAGGACACCAAAAATGAGAAGAAATTGTCAGACTCTAGTACATCATCATTATCTTCCCTTGAGAAGTGCAGGACACAATTCACCTACATCGAAAATGACGCATCAGTTCATCAGAGAGACAGTGATGGTATGTTTTGTAAAACAGATTAAGTGTAAGCAGATTTCTAGATAATATCCATTTAAAGAGTGCCCTGAAACACCTGCTTAAACATTGGACAGGAAGTTAAAGAATCGAAACTAAGCAATCGTGAGATGTCCTAGAGATTGTTTACTCTAGACTTGGGAATCTAAGGAAGATTGCTTTAAAGTGCCCATGACATGAGGGTTCCTATTGCCGGGCCACAATACGAGAATTTAAGTCCAGTGGGGACATGTCTGTGCCTGTGCATGGGTCTTAGGAAATAGTCTTTGCATAAGGATGCTCAGTAGGCATTGGAGGGACAGACTCCTTCTCCCCAGGCAGCAGAATAGCATTGTTATTGCTACTGCAGCTGCGCCTAAGAGCATGGAACACCCCTTATGCACAGTGGCTTGCCTGCTGGATCCATATAGTTGTGGGTCCATTCCTTCCCCCTTCCCTTCCCCTCACCCAGTCCCAATTCTGCTGCTGTGAGCCTGCTGCAAAGACTCACATAGGATCTCAGTGAAGAGGCCTTTTCGTAGTCTGCCCCTACTTATGCAGAATCCAGCCTCCTGCTTATGCTGCTTTTAAGCCCTGATTCGACAAGGTATTTGCCTAACTTTAAGCCTGGTAATAGCACCACTGACTTCAATGTGCTTAAATATAGGCATGTGCTACTGAACCTAGGTGAAGCATGGCCTTAAGGCTTTTGATTCTGGCCTGCCTTTGCTAGCCAATATGATCCCATATATGCAAAATACTAATGTTTATCTCAGTACGTCACATGACTGGGTTTTTAAAAACCTGTTTTCTCCCAACTTGAAAGCAAAATGCTATATAAGGCTGTTAAAATACAGAACTTGCATGGCTTTTGCATACTTTGCGAGTGCACCTCTAACCCAAAGAAATGTTCGCACTTTCTAAAAGGAAATGTATTTGGCTGCTAGTCCAAAATTTGCATGTGGCTATTATTTGGGGTTGTTTTTCTTTTATATGAACAAAACAAGTTATTTCTTTCTCTTTCATTATTACACAAGTCATTAATGTGCCAACACAATCATTGGCTTTCATAAGAATTTCACTAACCATCATATATCCATGCACCAAAGCAGAACACCCAGGTTCTGTAGACTTAGTACAGACTACATCTTGTGTAAACCAGCATAACGACACTGAAGTCAATGAAGTTACGCTGATTTACAGCAGCTGAGGTTCTAGTCCTAAATATGCTCATAGACATATCTGTGATGCTCTTGTTCCATAGACTAAAGTTCCTTATGTGGGCATTTTATAATAAAGCTGAAACGTGTCAGCTATATCATGTTAATGATCCTTGCATTAAGAACTACTAAGTACAGATCAACACAATAAACCACAATGCTCCAAAGGAACCATTATGATATATTGTATCACTGATTCTGTAATAATTGTAGTGCTTCATATACTTCTAGCGATATCAGAGTGCATTCAATCTTCTTTAAAGAGGTGAAGTAGTTATTCCATTAAGGGGGACTGATCCAGCAGTTCCAACACAAATGGGTGTTTTACCTGTGTAGTGATTACAGGATTGGTCTCGTAAATTGTTACTGGTACACAGGAGTGGTACATATGTGAAGTAAATAACAGATTTCACACAGTTAAAAAACGAAAAGCAAAGGAAATTAACGAAAACAATCTGTGCTCAATTAAGAATGTTAAGAACTGGACCTAAGCCAAGAAAGCCAAGGAAACTCAAGATTTGTGTTTGTCACTGAACACTTCATTCAATCTATTCTGACTAGTTATTGTAGCTGATTATTAGGCACACATATGGCCAATTCCTATTCTCTGATATAGCCATGGAAAAACCCTAAAGCCAGTGAACCCCACTGAAGCCAGCAGTGTTACCTGGCTATGACTGAGAGAAGAATTTGGCTCACTTTGCAGAAACTGCTCTAGGAGAGTCTGATCCATAGTCCACTGATGTCAATGGAGAAGACGCCCATGACTTCAATGAGATTTGGATCAGGTCCATACCGAGACTCAGCAGTATGAATTAAGGATGGATTGACATCCACAAGCCACAAAGAGCAAGAAAATGTAGAGCAAAGGCAGACCTGGAACACTATTAAAAATAGTTCTTTTGTGGTAATTAATCTAATAATGTAGAAATTGAGAGCTGAGGTCATTGTTCTCACTGAGATAAATGCAATAATGCCTTTCACAAGCAGCAGGGAAAACAGAAGAGAAAACAGGAGATTGCATCTTCTTTTGTGCAGTTTGTGGCTAATTTATTTTCAAATATATAAATGAATGCATAGGAATGGATGCTTAATTGCTAATATCTATTATTTATATACATTACTCCACTTAAAACAGAACAAAAAAGCCTCACACATGCAGATTTTGCAAGATGTGTTACATCCATTAGCACAGTTCATGGTGTGTGCTCTGATGGGAATTTAAAAGCATCTTTACTGCACATCACAGACTTTGTGCTGAAACATTACTTTATTATTAAAGTCTTGTGCTTTTTCTGTGGTCCCTTTCCTGGGTAGACCCTTAAGAACTATATCTATTCTCAGAAGATTATGTGAGCACCAGTAAGGTTAATAAATTCAGGAAAATCTGTGTTATTAGAAAACAAATCTTATTTTTTTATTTTAGAAAAAACTGAAAAGATCCCTAATTGCTGTATTATTTTTAATTTGATATATCTTATCAAGGTGCAAGGGGGAAATTTCATAAATATAAGATACCTAAAAAGAATAGTCTTAATTACACCATGGACTACTGGATAAAATGATTACATTTTCTACACTGTAAATTTCATACAATTAAATGCAGCAGTGTCACCTTATAAAATGTTTCAATTTTCTAATTATTTCAGTTCATTTACTCAGAAAAAAATATAAGCATGAATTTACTAAGTATCACCAAAATCTAGTCATTCTCATTCTACAGAACTGACTGGGAAGTTAGTTGTGCTTGTCTGAACTTAAATAGATCTTGACATATTGAAATAAGTATTAAAATTGATAACATTGCCAATGATATGCTACTTACGGAAAGAATTTCAATCACATGCTATTTATGCTTTATTCTACCTGCTGAATAGACGTTTTTAAAAAAAATAAAGAAGTTGGAGTGATTTTTTTTATTTTATTTTTTTTATCAAGGAAGCTTTAAAAAAAATTCTTCTGGAAACTTTCTGGATGTGAACTTCTCAGTTAACTTCACTGGTCATGTTGCATTATGTTACATGATATATATCATGCCACAACAGAACAAATGCAGCTGAGTAAGATCTGACAGTTTGTCATACTAGAGCAAGCAATTTGATAACATCCAATATTTTTTCCTGAAAGTACCAGTGGAAACAATTCTCACTACTGAGAAATATTTTCCTTAAAAAAATAAAAAAAAAAAAAAAGATGTAAAGAGATTTGGGCCCTGAAAATTACTTGTGTTGATCCTTCAGGAGGGGGGGGAAAAAAAAAGACAAAAACCTTTGTTGATAGGCATTGCAAGGTGCAGTCAAGTGTGGCTTCTGATATGGTATCACCACAAGTATAGCTGAAGAATAACAACTAACAGAGAAAGAGAAACAAAAAGCTGAATGAGCAAGGGAAAAGGTCATGTTAGGGTTTCCGAAATAAGTGAATGCACTGGAAGTGCAAATCATTGGCAGAATCCACCACACTTCAAACTGCGTCTCCGCCAATTTCCAAATAGTTCAGATTTGCCTCTGAACACCTTATCTTGCTTCAACGCTAACAAATGGGAGCTGAGCTGTTTGGAAAATCTGGCTCCAATTCTAGGGGCCGAGCACGGGGAAATCAGACCCTGGGTGAGCACATTAAGGCAACCTTCTGGGGCATGTTATATATCCTGTAAGTATGAAGTGGCTGCCAAAGCACCTGCAACATTACAGGACAGGTTTCAAAGTAACAGCCGTGTTAGTCTGTACTCCTGTTCTTATTACAGGACAATTACTCTAGTCATGAGCTAGTTCTTCTGGGGCTGATGCTTGCTGATACGTAAGAGTTACTCCCTTACACAATGCTGGAAAGAAAACGACTTCCCTTTAAAATGTATCTTTCCTAGTTGATACTCTTTTTCTACATTTTTTCCCTTTTAAAAATTAACAAGCATGTGAATTAGAAGATGAAAAGCCTATTTAAGAGAGAGGGTGAACTGTGACCCCGGGCAGAGCATAGAATACCAAACTGCAATGTGTTAACTCTACTCTGTACTCTTCCTTTTCCGCCCCCTTTTTGGTAAGTGTTGCAAACTAGCATTCACTGAACTTCACTGAAAATTGAAGCTAGACAAATTCAGACTGGAAATAAAGGCATAATTTGTTAATAGCGTAATTAACCATTGGAACAACTTACCAAAGGTTGTACTGGTGTCTGCATCACTGACAATTGTTAAATCAAAACTGGATGTTTTTCCAAAAGATCTGCTCTAGGAGTTATTCTGGGGAAGTTCTATGGCCTGTTTTATACAGGAGGTCAGACTAGAAGATCACAATGGTTCCTTCTGGTCTTAGAATCTGTGAATCTATTAAATCAGACTCCTTATAAAAATCAGACTAGAAGCATGTGATTAATCTGTGCTGTTTTACACCACTCCACAAGTGAGTTCTGCTCTCACCCATAAATTCATCTAAATCCTCATCCATCTGCCATAATTCTGTGATTTAGCTATACAGCATCATATGCATCCTAACTGACCCTTTCCATCTGAACAACTAATAACTAAGCTTTTAGCAGACTTTAAGGGCCTGATCCAATTCTCACTGAAGCCAGTGGAACTCTTTCTGTTGGCTTTAGTGAGCATTAGATCAGGCCCTAAAATGCTTTGATGGGCTGACAGCCCAGAAAATTATTATTTCAACACCAAGGGCCCAATCCTGAAATCTTTACATGCAGGCAAAATCCTCACTGGAAGTTTTGCCTGCAGAAGGGGTACAAGATTGGGACTGAGGATTTCTACATTGAATTACAAATTCCTATCTGAAAAAAATAAAATCTATTCTGTAGCCCAGGGGTCAGCAACCTACGGCACGCGTGCCAAAGTTGGCACGCGAGCCGATTTTTCCTGGCATGTGGCGTGGGCTGAGCCGCTCAGCCCCGCCGCCACTCTGGAGTTCCCGCTGCCAGCTGCCGGCTCCTGCGGGACCCGCCGCGGGTCCAACTCAGCACCGGCTGCTGGCCTGGGGTTCCTTCCCCCAGGATAGCAGCGGGCTGAGATCCCAGCTGGCAGGAGCCGGCAGCCGAAACCCTAGAACGGGGGTCGGGCTGAGCCGCTTAGCCCGCCCTGCTCTGGAGTTCCCGCTGCCGGCTCCTGCCAGCCGGGGTCCCTGCGGGTCCAACTCAGCACCCGCTGCTGGCCTGGGGGGGAAGGAACCCCAGGCTGGCAGCGGGCTGAGACCCCGGCTGGCAGGAGCCGCCGGTGAAAACCCCAGAGCCGCAGCGGGCTGAGCCGCTCAGCCTTCCCCGCTCTGGAGTTCCCGCTGCCTGCTCCTGCCAGCCGGATCCCCGCGGGTCCAACTCAGCACCCGCTGCTGGCCTGGGGGGGAAGGAACCCCAGGCTGGCAGCGGGCTGAGACCTCAGCTGGCAGGAGCTGGGGGCAGAAACCCCAGAGTGGCGGCAGGCCAAGCCAGTCGCTGCTCTGGGGTTCTGGCTGCTGGCCCCTCGCCAGCAGGGGTCTCTACCATGCAGCTCCACTCACCTTGCTTCCGGTTGGAGGATCTCTCGCAGACAGGGTCCAGGCCTCCAGCCCTGCTCAGGCCTACCAGCCACCTACTCCACTCACCTCAGCTGCCAATCTTGGTTTCCAGCCTTTGCTCATCCTGCTTTCGGGCCTGGAGTCCCAGCAGGCCAGCCTTTACATATAACAGTAGTTTGGTTATATATTATAGACTTATAGAGAGACCTTCTAAAAAGCGTTAAAACGTATTACCGGCACGCGAAGCCTTAAATTAGAGTGTATAAATGAAGATTCGGCACACCACTGCTGAAAGGTTGCCGACCCCTGCTGTAGCTTATGGCAGATGCTGTGTATGAGTGGAATTACTGGCATCACACTAGAGATATGATTGTGCTTTTTTGTAATAATGTAGTACAATGGAGAGTATCCTCACTGAGTGAAATTCACGCCTATGCAGAGGGCCAGCCCAGGGCATCAGCCCTACTTAAATCCCTCTGTACAAAGGTGAGTTTCACTCATATGGAATACTTTCATCCAAAAGATGGTGGGTTTTTTTCTATCCAGACCAAACAACACAGGACATCATTTTATGTAATATGTTTTACGTCTGTAATTTTTCAAAATTATATTTTAAGCTTAGTTTGTTGTCTGCAGGGATCTCTGACTTCTGGGTCTCATTTAAATGTAGTTACATCTGCCTAAATTTGGAGTACTATGGTAGTGAATCAAGCCCTCTTTCTTTCCTGTATCTCACTCTTTTTCTTTTTTCTTAGATGAATGTGCATCTCTTATCCTGGCCTGCTTGTTCTGCCAATTTTGGGACTTTCTTATAATGCTGCCTAATACCTGTGAAAATTGGTTGATAAATATGTGCTGTCCATCCTATAGATATCACCATACCTCCAGTGAAAACCACTCCAACAATGACTGTAACTGTGACTGTGACATTGATTGCAGCATTTTTGAATCCTGTCACGAAACCAGTGAATGTCTGGAACTTGCCTTGGAGATTTCTGAAGTCTGTTATCGCTAATAGGAAACAATTGACAGAATTCCCACAAACTGTCTGAATGGAAACTGACAGAGTAAAAAGGATATAAGATTTTTTAAATAATTGGAGTGTTTGCTAACCAGGGCTGTGTGTATTCTCTGATGTCCCTTTGGAAGAACTGTATAGCATTACCAAAGAAAATTCTGTTTGTATGATTTCACAAGCCACTGAAGCCAATAAAGAATGAAAACCTGTTTCCTACCTTGCCACAGATGAAAACGAAATTCCTAAATACCAGCTGTGCTAATTGCTTTGCCCAGGATCAGTCTCATGCTTTTATAAATCTCTCTATTGCATTCAACATGGATTTCCCTCCATCCACAAACATAAGACACATTAGGATATTCTTTTAGGAATAATATATATTAAGTCATCTTCCTAATGGATTCATATATAAACATGTATTACATATTGTGGGGTATTATTAATAATGTATGCTATAACATCATTTTATAATTAAAAATGTATTTATACAATCTCTTAAAACACACTTATATGCTCAGTTTAGGTAGAAAAGAAAATTAAGTGAATTAGAAACCATGCTAGATGTAATTACAATAAAGGTCTCTAAAAAATCTCCAGTGAATTTTGAAGAGGATGCATTTTAACAGGGTACTGCAATTCAACAGTGTATTAATGTGTGTGCCTATCATTATGTAATATCAGGTTATGCCTATTGTTCATTAGTTTAGGAAAGAGCTCCTTAATTCTAATTAGCATTAATAGAAATTGAATGCACACTTCTAGAGGAGAATTTCCCTATGGATAGCCAGTAACGCTTTTTCCCAATTTTTGTTTGTGTGATTTTTTTTTGTAAAGAGCAGAATATTGTAAGCAATAACAGTGTTGGAAAACAGACATGAGTGCACAAAAGATAAAAAAAATGCACAAAAGATAAAAAATGACAGTATCCAACTTGGAGGCACTTACTACAGTCTGTAACACTCTCTGTATTTTTCTTTTCTGATAATGGGTCTGATTAATAAAAATGAAATGAACATTGTACATTACACGTGTGACAACAAAAGGATGGAAATTCAGCTACCAAGGGGCGGAGAATCCGCATATTGAGCAAAAAGGAAAATATAATAAGTTGCTCGTTCGTGTGGGAGGTTTACATACTGAAGCTGGCCTGCTCTGTGGCAGCATTTGCTTTCTATGTGCACTCACAGATTTCCAAGCAAGCCCACTGATTTCAGTACGGAAGAAATATTGTGCCTATAGGGTCCAAAACAGGCATCCTTGTGAAAAATGTACAAGATCAGATCCTCATCGGGTACAAATCAACATAGTTCCATTGAAAGCAGTGCAGCTATAATGCACAGTACGTCTGTACTACAGGGGTTGTGATTGCAACTCAAGTAGACATCTCCGAACTAGCTTTAATGTAGCGAGCTCAGATCCCAGAGCAGTGACGCTCTGGTAGCACATGCTTCGGACCGGTGCAGGTTAGCTCCACAAATAATTACCCAGGGTTCCACTCCAGTAAAAGCTAATTTGGGTTGGTCGACTCGAGCTGCAATCACAACCCATGGCAGTACAGATACCACCTGGGATTACAATATAGACATACCCTGATTTATACCATGTGAGCATCAACCCTGAAATTTACAAGAGATTTAAAAAGATGCAACAACTACTCGTGTATTTCTTTTCTTAAAAAAAGACCGTACAGTAAAAATGTTAGATTTGAATACTCTTCTTATAAATATTTTAAGGCCTTTTAGTCTCCTTTGCATATTCAACACTTTTTATTATAATAAAAATATATATTGCATCTGGCAAAAGGCGCAGTAGACTCAACTGTACCTGATTTCTGTGCCTCTTGTTGAGCTGGGGGGGGTGGAGTAGAATAGGTCTGTTTACACTTTGTTGTATTACGTACCATACAATGTCAAGCTTTTCTCAACTTCAGCCAGTTTAAGGATTAAAATGTGTGTTTCCAAATTGTCTATCCTGTGCCAAATGTCCTACTGGGGAGTAAATTTTCAGTGTGGAGAACTGGACACAGAGGTCTGCATCCCTCAAACCTTTATTCACATTAGTTCTCCTTTCCTTATTTATGCAAATAGTTTCATTGATTTCAATGCACATATGTGAAAAGATAAGGAAGATTACTCATGACCCTGACACTGCAATGTGATGCATTCTGGAGGACCTTTGCCCAGTTGGCCTCAGTCAGATTCATCAGGAGCAAAGAGGTCTGTCCACGTGCATCGCCTAGCAGGATTGGGGTTTATTTGACTAAGCCTTTGTAGAATTGGGCCCATATTTCCTATTACCTTTCAAAGCCAGCTTTTCTTCATATTGGAAAACATGGGTTCTCAACCTGTGGGAAGGGGAGTGGAGAAATGGTGAGAACAGGACCAGGAGAATCACAACCACAACAATGGCTAGATGGGTCAGGTCTCCCAACACTTTTTTCTGCTGTGACATGCGGTCAGCACATGGAAAAAGTTGAGAACCACTGCAGCAATCAATGATGGTCTTTTAAATAGTACAGAAGTGTCTCCTCACCTAATAGTTATGGGAGCATGCTATTTGGTTTCTTGTTTTATAATGCAGATGGATATTTTTGTGCTCTACAGCATGAACTAAGAAACCCTGGAAAATGTTCTTCATCCTTATGTTACCTTAATCACCAAAAGGACTAACAGTTCATGTCTTCCCTCATAAAACGGTTAATTGTAAAATACAGCATACTGCATGTTCATGACACAGAGGAACTATTTAGCACATTGAGATCAGACAGCAGAGCAAGTGGGCTAGAATAATTCCCCCCCTGAAATATTCCAGAAATTAGCTTTTCTATTTAGAGATCCATCTTATTCCCACACATACCTGACTTTCACAAGTCAGACAAAAACCATTCATCAGATTCAGACTTAGACAGACATTGTACAGACAGGTTAAGCACAGGTACTAGAAGCAATTCAGAGCTGCGTTTTTTGTTTCCCTTAGAGAAAGGCCTACTCACCCAAGTGGGAGGCATTTGGGTGGCATCATTGGTCCATGCTGTCAGAATCAGCTGTGCTGCCAAAGTGAATGTCAGCTCTGCAATGTGTGAAACCTCAACTCTTTAAGACAAGGAATAAAATATCACCATTTTGTAAATGGGAACATCTCCCTGATACTCTGCCTTTCTTCAGCAACTTTATTTTTAATCCATAAAACACTGACAGATTGGGTGGAGGAGAGAGCCAATCACAACGAGCCACTTGTTCCCCTCCTACAGAAAAGGATAACGTCCACTGCAAACTTTCTGAGAGTCTCCTCATGAAGATTCCTCTGCATCCTCCTCTCCCCCACCCCACCCCACCCCACCTCGGAGAAAATGGCCTTGCTCTTCACAGAAGGCGCATAGGGCACAACATGGATTTGGCTGTAATCACTTTAAAGGCAGAGATTGCCATTCACTATATGTTTTTACAGCTCCTAGCACAGCGTGGCCCTGACATGATTGGTCTCTCACTGCTGCTGCAATATAAATGTTAAACAACAAAATAAATAATCATGGAAATCCAGGCTTTGCACTGAAACTCAGTTCTGTTCCCACAGACCACAGGCCTGGCGTCTGCTTCTCCATGGCAATCTGAATCCCTCAAGATGTGCAGGAGAGGAACCCAGGACCCGTGTCCTCAACCCAAGAAGATGGCCAGGTATAGAGAGGAGAGCAGGCTGCATTGGCCCCCTTCAATATCCTCCAGCTTCTGAGAGCTCCGGGGCTGATTTTACCTTCTGACACAATCTCAGCTTAACCAGGATGACCAATGTCTTTCAAGCTGGCAGTGGTGGCATGACTCTGATTAGGATCCTTAGGCACTGCTGTAATATAGATAAATTACTATTAATTATTACTATATCATTCCTGTGGTTGTTTTTTAAAATAGGTTTCTATTGAGAAATTGCACATTATTTCATCGTACAGCATATAAATTGTACAGCCTAACAAGTACAGGCAAAATAATGAACCCCACATAATGACCTGGATTTTCTAAATATTGCATGTGAGTAAGAAACATTGGCATCTGATCTGTGTTCCGTGGCCTATATAAAATGAGTTGGTGGACCCAGGCCAACTCCTAATGGGCATGTGCCTACATCATAAGCACCACCAATATAATAGGCACCCTGAGCAAAGATGCCAAGGATTGAGTGTACACAGAGCCCTTCCTGGCCTTTACAGTAGCTCCTCCGTGCCCTGGGTCAAGGCACAATGTAAAGAGCAGTGCCTGTGGTGTGTCAGCTCCCTTAATAAAGGGCTTTGTTCTCCAGAAACATCAGTTGGTGTAATAATAGAATTCCGAAATGTAGGGATCAAATTCTGCCTCCCCTCTAAACTCAATGGGATAGATTGGGGGGCAAATGGGGACATAATTTAGGACTTATGCATCAGAATTAATCTAGATCTCAAAATGCTTGAGCATCCATTATTATCCCAATTTTACAGATGGGGAAACCGAGGCACCGATGTCATTGTGATTTGCACAGGCACCAGGCCTGGGAATAGAACCCAGTTCTTTTGACTTCGAGGCCAGTTCACTACCCAGTGGATCATGCTGCCTCCTTATAAAATTGAAAGGAAAAAAAAGCTGTTCACAGACATTCTAGGGAAGGCATGCCAGAACAGAATGTGTTAAACGACAAAATAATATTGAAAAACTATGCTTCTGTCTTAGACAATCTTGCAACTGAAACATAGTTATGTTCATCCCCAGACAACATTATACTAAAATGAACATGGCACAAAAGGAAAAAGAATCATATGAGTGCACAAGAAAATGATCATCAATGTCATTAAACTGTATACACAATGTATATTGCCAGCTTTGCCATGTTTTTCTATGAAATAAAAGTAACAGCAAAGAAGAGAGGGAGATTTTATTAGATCAACTGTATAAAAAGCATGAATGGCTTCCATTAGCACAGCACAGTTGAGAAAGGACAAGATTTAAGTCTAATATAAATATGAGAAAATTATA